TGAAAACACATGAGTTTAATTGATTCAAATATTACGATTTAATTAAATCTTACAATTTACGATTCAATTCAAACTTCAAATTCTTTCGAAATTCATTTTTAAATTACACGAGTTGAACAACATTTCCTTAGATTTTTAAATTATATTATATAAAGATTTGTTAGTATGAGATATTTTTAATATATAATAATAATAATTATATGAGAATTAATAATTTATTTAACATTATTTATACACGTTTTATAACCATTGTAAATTGTAGCTTTGTGATATATATCCGTATTGTTAAATTATTATCAATTATGTGTTATGTCTTAATGGTAAGTATTCTTGTATGTTTTCAGATGGTCACAAGTTCGAATTCAGGTTGATGCAATTTTGGATGGGTGGTTTAATGATTTTTACGAATAATGATGTAATTTACGTTATAAATCTTAATTCAGCAATAAATATATATTTAAAATTGCATTAAAATAGAGAGGGTAAAATTGACATTTCATTAATAATTTATAATTGTTGATTTTTTAAAATAATAATTGTAAAAAGGTATTTGCGACAATACATAAATGGAGAAAAATAGGTTTTTTTGGTGGGACACGTGTCGCATTTAATTCAGCAATAAATATATATTTAAAATTGCATTAAAATAGAGAGGGTAAAATTGACATTTCATTAATAATTTATAATTGCTGATTTTTTAAAATAATAATTGTAAAAAGGGTATTTGCGACAATACATAAATGGAGAAAAAATAGGTTTTTTTGGTGGGACACGTGTCGCAATTTAAAGGGAGTATCTCATAAAAGTTTAGAACACAGGATCTCACCCTAGAAAGACCCAAAATAAATATAAAAGGTCACTTTAAAAAACTTCTTTTATAGGATATTTTTCTTTTTTATTTCACATCACTTATATATTATATAAAAACTATTTCAGATTAATAAATATTAAACCTTTAAATAATTCTCGATAATGCTAAATGTCGTTTCAAAATTATTGATACCTTTCATATTTCAAAAAAAAAAAAAAAAAACAATTATCTCCCTCCCCTCTCTACAATGGTTTTTATTTCTCAACCTATTTAATAATATTTATCTCTACGTTTAGTTAAATCAATCAATAAATTTATCATATTAAAGTAATTATAGTAAGAAAATCACAAACAAATTCATAAAAAAAAAAATCACAAAAACAATGTAACCATTATTCAATTAATTAAGGGCCCAAACATAGGCGTGGGTAAGGGATCTAACCAGATGGGGAAGAAAAATGTTAAATTTATTAGGGGTAATGGCAAATAGGCCCATGACAAAGGCACTTAATTAAAAGAGGGACATTCAATTTTTTTGTCTTTCAAATAAATCCAACCCATTCAAACTTATTTGCAAATAAGGAAAATCCCTTTATATATACCAAAATTACCCCCAATTCATTGAAACCCAATTTAACGCCAATTTCATGATTTACACCCTAATTTATCCAAATTTCATCAATTAACCAATTTTAACCCTAATTTCAATTTTGACCCCAATTTTAACCCTAATTCTTATCAATTCCACCCATTATGCTCTAACTTCTTAAATATTATACATTGACCCCGGATTTAAACAAATATATCACATAAACCCCCAAAACTTTTTTTTTTCTGAAAATAAATTTTTTTTCTGAAAATAATTTTTTTTTCTGAAATATTTTTTTCCGGTCAGATTCCGACGTTGACCGCCGGTCTCCGGAAGTCGACGTTTATAATCTACTTATCTGTTCGAAGTTCCACGCTCCGGAGAAAACTGCCCCTTTTTCAACTGCCAGCTTGAATGTCCCTGGCTCCGGGACCACGGCCACCACGTATGGGCCCTCCCAGGGCGGAGTCAGTTTGTGGCGCCCAATGGTTGCTTTGCCGCCACCATAGAACAAGATCGCCCACATTCAGATCCCTTTTGCGTACGTGCTTGTCGAGGTAGCGTCAAAGTTTCTGCTGGTATCTGGCAGAGTTGAGGAGGGCTATGTCTCGAGCTTCCTCGAGCTGGTCGACCGCGTTCTCTCGAGTTTCCTTGTTTGACTTCTCGTTGAAGGCTTTGAGTCGAGGAGACCCATACTCAAGGTCTGTTGAAAGCAC